GTGATGTGCCGGGTGTGAGTTGGCCTTGCTTGGCCACTAGTTAAAGATTCCTCACATATATTTAAAGTGGGAAACATTTCCGTTTGTGACCATGATGTTTCCTTGGTTGTGAGTTTTATTCTTTTCTTGGTGGCTTTTCGCGCCACCTCGTTATACCTATCGTTGTCCCCATGATTGCCCCTATGATTATACCTATGATTATCCCTATGATCATCCCATCTTCCATTGGCTATATTTGTTATTAATTAATAGTATATTAATAGTCACAATCCTCTCTGTAATACCGTAATACCCATCAGACCTGGTGACTTAGCGCATATATCTAATAATTATTCCTATCATTATCCCTTTCATCCCTATCGTTATCCCTGTGGGTATCCCTATGAATATCCCTATCGTTATCCCATCTTCCATAGGCAATCCCATTTATTTATTTGTACGATTTAATTCGACGTCAGGACGTCAAACCCCGAATTAACGGGGCAGAATTGTGAAATTAAGGGGATATCTACAGAAAGTATCTAACTCTCTGCCTGTACCCGGTCCCGCTTGCTCGCGAAGCGCATTGTTGCATTGTTGACAACGAGCTCTTGTTTGAAGCGCGACCGGGTGAGAGAGAAGGGAGAGACGCAAAGTGAGGGGATAGATTTATGCACGTACTATTTGGACGTATTATACGTATATATATATATATCTATGTTTATATTTACATAATTATAAAAAAATATATATATACTGTCCACCCAACAAACACCAACCCTCAAAACCGCCCATCCGTTTTATGTCATTAGCTAAGACACCCGTATGTATATGCTGCCAGGCAAAGCGCGTTCAACGACCTCAACCTGGACAACGAGGTCACACTAATTTCGTTTTACAGATAACCTCACTTAATTTCATTTTGAATTATTGAAAATAAGGTACGACCCAAGACATATTATAAATAGGTCAGAATTATAATATTCACCATTCTCTTTATCATACCTACCATATATATATATCTCTCTCTCTCTCTCTTGCTTTCAACTTTTAATTATACCTATAAATACCCCTTTTAACCCTATCGTTATCCCTATGACAATCCTATGAATATCCCTATGGTTATTCCATCTTCCATGGGCCATCTTATTTATTTATAGTAGTCACAATTCTCTTTATCACATTTGCCATATATATATAAATATATATATATAATTCCTATAATTATCCCTCTCCTCCCTATCGTTATCCCTGTGAATATCACCATGGCTATCCCATCTTCCATAGGCAATCTTATGATTTTGTCTAATTTTCACCATTCTCTTCACCGTACCTACCATATATAGAGTTTTTTCTAAAAACTATACCTATAATGATCCCTTTTTTTCCCTATATCGTTATCCCCGTAATTATCACTTTGATTGCCCCTATTAATTTCCCATACCTATAATTATCTTTTGCATCCCTATCCCTGCGATTATCTATGAATATCCCTATGGTTTTCCCGTCTTGCATAGGCCATCGTATTTATTATAATATTCATGATTTTCTTTATTTTACCTACCATATATATATATATATGTGTCTTTTAATTATACCTATAATTATCCCTTTCATCCCTATCCCTGTGAATATCTCATGAATATCCCTATGGTTATCCCATCTTCCGTAGACCATCGTATTTATTTTTGATATTCACATTCGCCCTATCATATCTACAATATTCAAGTAAATAAACAAATATATATATATATATTATACCTACAATGATCCCTTCCATCCCTATCGTTATCCCTGTGAGCATCCCTATGAATATCCCTATGGTTATCCCATCTTCCATTGACCATCGTATTTATTTGTGATATTCATCATTCTGTCATATCTGATATATGCATACATTTATATAAATTAAACCTGTAATGATTCCTTTCATGCCTATCGTTATCCCTGTGATTATTCCTATGGTTATCCCATCTTCCATAGACCATCGTATTTATTTTTGATATTCACCATTTGAGTTATTATATTTACGATATATATACATATATATATATTGTTTTATTATTTCTACCTATAATGATCCTTTTCATCCCTATTGTTCTTCCTGTGATTATACCTATGGTTTTCCCATCTTCCATAGGCTATATTATTTACTTTTTGTTTTCACCATCCTCGAGGAAAGCAAAAGCAAGGATTTTGCCCGTTTCGACCTGCTATCGGACCAAGTCGCCTGAGTTCCCAGCTTGCAATTGGCAAACCGCTGGATGTTTGGCCACCCATGAGCTTCGGCCCAGCAGATATTTTCTAAATTGAGAAAAATCAGCTTGACGTAGTGGCACTTTCCCCTGCCACGCACAGAGAGGCTGTCCGTTCTACATGGCGATCGCAGTGAGCAAGGTTTTCAGGAGGCCCGTGCAAATGCTGAGGCCTCCTCCGCAAGGCCTGTGAAACGGCTGAATTTGGATCCTTTCCAAGATGTTCCTGATTGGATTTTGGCGACTCAGGATCTGACGAGAGCACCTGACATCTCGTTGTTAGTGTGACGTTGAGCGGGAAAAGGGAATCGGAAGAGCGAATCGGAAGGGGAAAGGGTGTTTTGAAGTATCTTGGGAATTGGCTTTGTTTTATGTCAAATCCATCAACCCTGGAAATGAATCCGAGCAAGTTGCTTGGATTCACAAATCCGAACTTGGATCAATTATTCCAGCAAGAGGAAAAGGAATAAGTTAAAGACGTGCGAGTGTTTTGCGATTTTAAGTTTTTGTTTACAGGCTTTTATAAATTAAATAGAAAGCAAATGTAAGTCTTAGTAGAACATGTTTGGAAGTACAAGGCAATTTTTGGGCTGCCTTCGACCTGTGAACAATTTATCAAGCGGGCTTGTGAAGCTGGGCATCCTGCTAAATCCAACCATGCTGTGCAAATGTAATGGAGTGAGCAAACTTTGGTGGCTTATCGCATGGACTGGTGCCGGCGCTGGTTGAAAAGAGTAGTGGAACTGTAGCCTCATGAAAAAGCAAGACTTGGCCAACAGGCCTCCGCATGTCAAAGCAGCCACCAAAAACAAGCGGCTTCTGTTGACGCAGGAGATAATGGATAGCCTTGGTTTCGAGGACCCTGGAGCACTGGATTTGTTGAGAAGTGGCTCACCACTAGATGGGGACATACCGCAGAGCTTTACAAACCATGTTTGGTGACCTTGTTGCAACTGACAAGGGAGTCTGAGAAGCGGAACCAGGCCATTTCTTGCGGCCTGCGACAGCAGTGGTGATGCGGAGGTGGACAGACAGGTGCTTCATGAGACACGTGAGGAGGTCAGGCTTCGTTGGGCGGTTGGCCCAATTGCTCAGGTTCCCAAAGGGAGCGTGGTGTCACGAAGGTTCCCCTTGGTTCAGCGCAACAAAACACGTATGATAGATGATAGCTCCATTTCAGGAGTCCCACAACAAGGTTGACTTACACATGGTTGACACTTTTGCTGCAGTTTTGCGAGAATTTTTCCAAAGGTGTGGTGAGCATGGAAAAGCCAGTGAGATACTGGCGAAAACTTACGACTTGAAATGCGCTTACAGGCAAGTCCCCATCAAAGAGGATCACCTGCAGTTCTCCTACTTCTGTATTTACAACTGCGAATTGAGGGGCCTGAGGTGTACCAGTTGCTGACGTTCCCTTTTGGAGCGACACATAGTGTCTACAGTTTTCTTCGCCTTGCACGACTCCTTTACACCATAGCAACACGTGGCTTGCACCTGCTCACCACAAATTTCTATGATGATTACATCTTAGCCTCTCTGCCCGGTAGTGTTGAGTCTTCAGAGAATGCCATGGAGTTAATTTTCATCCTGACCGGGTGGCAATTTGCAACAGATGGTAAGAAGAGCACGATTTTTTTACAAGGTATGCAAAGCGCTGGGAGTGGAATTCAACCTTTCCCGTTGAACGCTTGTTGGCTATAAGGAATGCAGAACAGCGCATACAAGATTTGAAGGCCATGGTGGCCTCTAGATTAAAGGCTGGCACTCTTGGGAAAAATGAAGCGTTGTTGATGTTGCGTGGAAGATTAGGATTTCGCAGACTCATTCCTACATGGACGTTTGGGGTCGCTGGTTCTCAAACGCTTTATGTCAGCTTGCTGATATTTGTTTATAGTCTAATGGACAGCGATGAAAGAGCGTCTCTTCAAAAAAAACAATGTTTTGAATAAAACAACGGTCAAACATACTTCATGAACATGCTGTTCAATGTTTCACTTGCAATGCATGTTGCATTCTTCAAGTGTTGTGCATTCAGCAAAAAAAGAAATATCAATGAGATTTATTTCGTGTGACATTTCCCTTCAAGCATGTGGTGGGCGGGCGGGAAGCTCACAAAATTGTGAGGGTAGAATTTTTAGTTTTATGGTAGCTCATTTTCGGGCCGCGTCGATCACTGAGAAAGGCTGTGAGGCATTTCAGACTGCTATTCAGATCCATCATCGTTTTTGGACTGCAAAGGTTTTCTGCTGGGGTAGTGTTTGCTTTGGCATTGGCTTCACAGCGTGTTTTGCGTGGCTCTTGTATGGATCCCTCATTTGACCCTGTCATCCGATATCATACTGCTTGGCAACCTGTGGACGTCAACGACAACCTCGATTTTGTCAGGTGGGACAATTGGTCCACTCTCAGGGTTCTTCCCACAGTTTGCTGGCAATTGGGTGGTCTCGAACAGAATCTGGTGGTTTACACTTTTTGGATTTGCTTTCCATTTCCAATTTGCGTGTTGCTTGTTTTGGATGGGCTGTTGAACTCTCTGACAACCAGGAAGAGTACATCATTTTGCGCCGAGCATGTGCCAGAAGCGTCCACATTTTTAGACACCCTGGTAGGTGATCCACCTGTGCAACATTGACATGACCACCTCAGGCACAGACAGGCTGAAGCGGAATGGGGGGTTTTGACACAACTACACCTGCAGTGAGCTCTTCATGTTATGAACAACATATCAGACACATTTGGACTGCAAATCATAATTCAACTTTCAAAATGCCTTGGGAGCTTTCGATGAATACTCCATGGGACGCATGCAAAAGGCTCAGGACCAACAAGATTGACTTGCATGGACCACTGCCTCCCGTGCCAGTAACTGCAAAGGTTTTTCACTCAGAATGTGCTGCAACTGAGATCCTTTCTTTCAAACAGATCGGAGTCAAAGCTGCCAAACATGCTGATGATCGTTTGTGGTCAGACAAACTGTCGTGGGAGCGCAAGTGTGCTTACAAAAAGTGGGTTAGCATCATCTTGAGACAGGTTGGAGCTTTTGACATCGCCAGACAACAGGCTACTTGTCATACCATGGAATTTGCGCGTGGAGGTTTATTGGAGTCGGTGAAAGACTCGTTAGGCACCAAGGCTTCATCGACCCTTCACTCGAGGGCAGGACCCATTTTGCAGTACATTCAATTTTGTGAAGACAGAGGGTTGCAAGCTTTTCCATTGATTGAGCCGGTGGTTTATGACTACGTCAAATCATGTGAAACAAAGGCTGCAACCTATGCCAGGTCCTTTCTTTTGGCGTTGAGTTTTACAAATTTTCATTTTGGACTCACTGGGACGCTGTCCATCATGAGCTCTGGCCGCATCCGTGGCCTGGTCAACACTCTGTACGCCAAGAAGAGAAAACTGACACAAAGACCGCCATTGTCAGCAGCTCAGATTGTGCACCTCGAAGACATAGTTTTGGATGGTCGCAGGACCGAATTTGATCGGAAAGCTTGTGGATTTTTCCTTTTCATTTTGATGGGCAGACTGAGATTCAGTGATGGACAACAAGTGTGTCAACTCAAGCTGGATCAACAACCCGATGGTTTTGGTTTCGTAGAAGCAGTGGCAGCCAAAACCAAGACTTCCGTCAGCCTGGAAAGGAAAACACGTCACCTGCCGGTGGCCGTTCCTCTTCTGCCATTTGGTGACAGGCAATGGTTGCCTGCGTGGTTGGTGCTTCGAAAGAAAGTCTTTGGAGATGCGGCAAACAGCAAGGATGAGTTTATTCCTCTTTTACCTGCACCAGCTGCCAATGGAGCCTGGTCCAGAATTCCGTGGACAGTCACTTCAGGAGCTAACTGGCTGCGTAGCCTGCTTCAGGGCACCATGGAGCAGGGAACTCCCATTGGGACACATAGCCTCAAGGCTACAGAGCATGCTGTGCTACTCAAGGGATAGCATGGCGGAACCTCTGCGCCAGATGTGTGAAATGATACATGCAGTGAAGGCACAAACCTTTCTACCTGACTGCTCCAGGTCGGGGCGTTTTCCCCATCGTGAACCAGGGCATGAAGTTGCAGAAGAAGAGGAATTGAGTGAATCCTCATCTTCTGGATCCGAAAATGAACCTGAAGGATAAGAATCGGCTTGTGAAAAGGTGCTTGGAAAATGGCATCCCTTAGCCGAGTTGCCTTCGGAGGAGAGTGTTTTTGTCCGCCACAGGATTTCTCGATGCATCCACATCATGGCCGATGAAGTTGGGCTGGATTTCGTTTGTGGCAGGAAAATGTCCGCTTCATACGATGTGCTGGAACCCAAACCTTCCTTTTGTCATCCAGCTTGCCAACTTTGTTTTAAAGATCGGGCCACCTGAACCATGAACGAGAGAAAAAGGCAGGGAGGTGTTCCGCTGCCAGTCAGTGATAACAATTTTCCTATTAGTTTGGCACCCCAAAATCTGACCCCCACAACCTACTAAACATGTAGCAAACCTGTAGGAAAAGGGTTACTGAGGGTAGAGTTGTGGGGGTCAGATTTTGGGGTGCCAAACCAGCAGGAAAATTAGAAGTCAGTGAAACTGCCAGACATGTATGGCATGTGCAAGTTGCAGTGCCGATGTGAACAGACCAAGCAAGTTCAACACTGATTGAACGGGTAGTCAAGCAGAACTCAAAGTTTGAGTTCATTGTGAAAACTTCCCAGCGCAATGCTCAAGCTTGTGATGGAGTTGCATTTCATGTTTGCATGCGCATAGCAGTACATTGGTACATGATAAAAACCCCATGATGAAAATCTCTTTGCAACAATATTTCACTTCAAACATGTATGATAAAATGAAAACTTCCTTAAATTAAAATAATTCCCGATGCAAGGACTTGTAAACCTTTGTAAACCATAGTCATAGCCCGCGTCCTTGCCCAGCATGAGCTATGGTGACAGCAAAGCAGTCTTCAAGAGACGATGCGAGGAGATTGGATTTGAGTCAGATGTGATAGAACAGATCACCAATCATGGGCTGGACACCATGGCAAAATTTGCCTTTGCATGTCATTTCTCACCTGGAAGTGCGGATGAGTCGCCCCTGATCCAGCTAGCAAAGGAGATAATGAGACGTGCACCTTCAACAGTAGAGATGTCATGTGTCAGGCGCCTTTTCAGTGAAAGTTATGCTAATGTTGCTGCAGACATTAAAAACTCTGTTGAGGCAACGGACGACATACCAACCCCTAGACTTGCACCAGCAGAGAGAGAGAGCAGAACGTTTGCGTTTGCAACAGCAGCGCCTGTCAGGTGTCAACATTTCAGGACCCTACGAACCTGGAGATGCATTAGTAGACCGTTGCATAGCAATGTATGATGCTGACCGCATTCAGTTCATTCCATGGGACGTTTGCACCAGCCGAGAACATGAGATATTGCAAGGATCGAAGAAAGACCAAACTCTGACTTTTGATTCAACAGGTGTCCTCAAGCTCCACAAGCAGTCCCGTGTTGAGCCATGCAGCATTGCTTCAGAGATCCAGGTACGTTATTGCCTGACCCGTAGAGCGCTGGCCTTGGAACAAGCCAACATAGTCTGCTTCAAAAACATGGAATCATGGTCAGAGAAGATGATGCAATCGCGTTTGGATGAGCCTCCACCAAACTACATCAAAACAACCATGAAACAGCGGGAGTCCGCTGACAGAAAACTTTTTCTTCTCATTAGTGAAAAGACGAGAGAGGGCATCAAGTGCAAGGCCAAAGGACGTCCAGTTGACGACATCTTCAAAGAGCGCATGGAAAGTTCAGAGGTGATTTCATTGTTGCAACCACGTCCTGGAGGTAGCAGTGGCGGGCCCAGAACGGCAGAATCTCATCCAGAAGGCGAAAGACCCAACAAAAGGTTCAAAGGAAGCGGAAAATCACGTGGAAAAGGTTTTGGAAAGCGTCAAGGAAATGCTGATTCTTTTGTGCGCATTCCCAAAGAACTGCTTGTGTTAGGATCAGTGGCTGCAACACCAAAGGGACATAGACTATGTTTTTCATACAACTTGAAAACATGCAGCAACTCCGTGGACAAACAACGTTGTTCCAAGGGTCTTCATGCTTGTGAAGTCAAAGGATGCCATGGACAGCATCCAGCAGTTGAATGCTCTCGCGCAAAACGGGAGTGACTAGAGGATCAACAGATCGACATCGAGATGGGGGCAGAGAGCAAACCCCAGAATTCAAGTTTTTGCAAGCATGTGGAAGAGCCGGCCACGGATCCTCTGTCGAGCCCAAGCTGTGAGCAGAGCGACGTTTTTCTGGCTTGTTGAGCGACTTACAGATCCCTGAGGGATCAAGAACCCCAGTTTTTGTTGAATTATGTGCAGGCAGCGCAAAACTCTCAGACGCTGTCAAACAATTTGGATACAACATTGTGGCGGTAGATCATGACAAAAATCGCCGCTCTCCACGCTGCAAGTTGGTTCAGCTAGATTTGTTTCATCAACATGCGTGGGACATGTTGGATTTCTTGCTTCAAAGGGTTTTAGTGGCTGGTGTGCATATCGCACCCCCTTGCGGAACTTGTTCCCGGGCCAGAGGCATCCCACTCCACAGCCGCTGCGTTCCACAGAGCAGCAAATTGGGACTCCCCACATTGAATCAGCGTGATCAACAACGAGTTTTTCTGTCCAATCAAATTTATAAAATTTGCGGTGAGTACGTTCAGAAACACCAACAAGCTGGCATTCCCTGGACAATCGAAAACCCAACAAATTCCTTGATGTGGGACCTGGAGTATTTTACATGGGCTGTTGCCAATGGCTTTTTCGTCAACATGCATGCTTGCGCATACGGCTCATCCAGGAAAAAGCTCACCTCATTTTTGCGCAATCATCGTGAATTCAGCAAGCTCGAGCTTTACTGTGATGGCCAACACGAGCATCAACCTTGGGGCATTGCGGAGGACGGATCATTCAGCACAGCTCTTGAGGCTGAATACCCCAGAGCCATGTGTCTCAAATGTGCTGAATTTTTTCATGAATTGTGTCAGCAGCGGAATACTCATCCAGGTCAACAGACTGCCATGGAGGTCCAAAAACTACCCCCTTACCAACAACCGAAGGGGCGCAAACTCCCAGCTGATCCCAGAGTACAGCTTCACAAGAACCATTCATGTGAGACACCTGCCTCCTGTTGACCACAAGGGCTGCTTGACCAAACCCTTACAAGACATTCCTGCCGGAAGTAAACTCTTACGAACTGAAGCCAAGAAGGGGTTAACTTTGTGCATTTTTGGTGTTTATAGATCTTTTGAGGCCTTCACACAAATTGCCAAACAACTGTGGCATCCATATGATGAGCTGAGAAACTTACCTGGAGATTTGGTGCGTACATATTTCAACATCTCAGCCAAGCCCCTGACGCAGTGACAAGAGGACGCATTGCTATCCTGACAGACTGGGCAAAACGTGCAAAAGCGCTGAGTGACCTGGAGACTCAATTGAAGTCCAACATGAATCCCAACGTGGCAAAGATTATTGCACCAAAACGCATCTTACTCATGAGATTCATTGCAACTGACCTGACCTTGCTTTATTTGACGAATTGGTGGAAGGGTTCAAAATAGTGGGACCTGTTACAGAGTCAGGCATTTTCAAACAAGGCATCACGCTGGCAGAGATATCTCCGCAACAGTTGCGAGACAGGACCAAGTTTCTCAAACCCATGACAATTGGAAGAGCAAAACTGAGTGATGGCAACGAACTGCAACAACAACTGTATGACACTACACTGGAAGAAGCTGGAGAGAAAAATTGGCTTGAAGGACCTTTTCAACCCAGTCAGATTGATGACAACATGGGTAGCAATTGGTTACCCGTTCGAAGGTTTGGCGTGCTTCAAAAAGACAAGCTTCGTCCTATCGACGACTTCAAGGAGAACCAAGTGAACAAAACGTTTGCCAGCTCTGAGAAGCTGGAGTTGAGAACCACGGACCACACTTTGTGGTCCCTCTTCACCGTCCTGAAGTTTCTGTTGTTTGATGGACGTTTGGATTTTGTGCTCAGTTCAGGGGAACATTTATGTGCCGAAGTTCACCCAGCCTGGAAAAGCATTGAGCCAAACTTCAAGACCTCCTGCATCGATCTCAAGTCGGCATATAAGCAACTTCCGCTGAATGAAGACAACTACAAGGACTCAGTTGTAACTATTTGGAACCCCGACAAGAAGTGCGTTGAATGTTTTGTTATGAAAGTGCTCCCATTTGGAGCTGCAGCAAGCGTGCATCATTTCTTGCGCGTGAGCACTTTCCTACAAGCTGTGGGAAGGTACATGGGTTTACTTTGGTCGGCTTTCTTTGATGACTTTGTCTTGCTCAGTCATGCAATGCACGAATCCAGCACTATGACATCAGCTCTTAGTCTTTTTGATGTTTTGGGTTTTCAATACAGCAATGACAAGCTGCAACCTTTCAAAGGCAAAACTGAAATGATGGGAGTCGAACTCGACTTGTTGGATGCGAAGACTGGCACAATCAAAGTAAGAAACAAAGCCTCACGATCGAGCGAGCTGTGTGAAGTTTTGGAACGAATCTTGAAACAGAAGAAAGTGGTAGTCAAAGAGCTGCCGACCACTCTTGGTAAGCTTCAATTTGCCGAAGGACAGTTATGTGGAAGATCGGGACGCCTTGCCTTGTCTGAACTGAGGCGTCATGAAAAATCTGGAGATAAGGAAGCCATACTGGACAATAGAAGCCTTGACGCGTCACTGCTCCTTTTTGAAAAATTAAGAAATGGCAAACCGAGGACAATTGGCATCAGTCCCAAAACCAAACCCTTCTTGCTGTTCACAGATGGCGCCCTGGAATATGACGAATGGAGTAAACCCATTGCAGGCATTGGAGCTGTACTCATGTGCCCCAACAATGCCAATTTCGTTTTTGGAACAAAGGTCACAAGTGACATTTTGAATCTTTGGCAAGTTGATGGCAAAACGCACGTTGTGGGGTTAGTGGAACTATACGCCTCCGTCACTGCTTTCAAAACTTGGGCGAACATCCTCAAAGGTCAACGCGTCATTTGCTTTACCGACAGCTGGCCGGTCCTCGACGTGCTGGTGAAAGGAAATTCGCCCATTGCTGAATGGCGAGACCTCCTTCTGATTTTTGAAACTCTGGACGAACAAATTGATGCAATGCTTTGGGTGGCGCGCGTTGCTTCCAAGTCAGATCCAGCCGATGCACCCAGCAGGTTTTCTTTGAAAGAACTGAGTTTTCTCAATGAGCTTGAAATTTCAAAAGCTATTTGTCCCATCACTGGTAACCCTCTCGAATCATTTGTAGCGTGAACCTAAAGCGGAAAGGGGAAGATCCAATGTTTGGATCAATTACAAAGGTGGGATGTCCACCTGTCAAAACATCAATGGATGATTTCGAATGGATGAAACTTTGGACATAAAATTATGTCCAATCGAATTCCCCAATCTGCTTTGCGAGAAAAGATCAGCGATTCACAAACGTTCAGTCATGTCAAACAAACGAAACGCAGTGATGTCAGTGGTGCATTGCAATTTTTGTTTTGAAGTTTGTGGCGCAACGACGACGTAACCCGACAATAGCGCGGCGTGATATATGTATATATATATATACATATTCCTTTACAGTTTACATACATGTTTATACATGCTTTGGCTTAATCGTCAGAGTGCATGCCAGATGTCTACCTGTGGACACGCCATGTACTCATACACATGCATATGTTTGCATGTGCCCCATTTTACTTTGAAGAGATGCTGATATTGGTTTATAGTCTAATGGACAGCGATGAAAGAGCGTCTCTTAAAAAAACAATGTTTTGAATAAAACAACGGTTAAGCATACTTCATGAACATGTTGTTCAATGTTTCACTTGCAATGCATGTTGCATTCTTCAAGTGTTGTGCATTCAAAAAAAAGAAATATCAATGAGATTTATTTCGTGTGACATTTCCCTTCAAACATGTGGTGGGTGGGCGGGAAGCTCACAAAATTGTGGGTGTAGAATTTTGAGTTTTACCCTCCCAACTCCCAACTTCGTTTCCCACCCTTTTCTCCCCCAATTTTGTGGGGGTAGGGAAGATCCAATGTTTGGATCAATTACAAAGGTGGGATGTCCACCTGTCAAAACATCAATGGATGATTTCGAATGGATGAAACTTTGGACATAAAATTATGTCCAATCGAATTCCCCAATCTGCTTTGCGAGAAAAGATCAGCGATTCACAAACGTTCAGTCATGTCAAACAAACGAAACGCAGTGATGTCAGTGGTGCATTTCAATTTTTGTTTTGAAGTTTGTGGCGCAACGACGACGTAACCCGACAATAGCGCGGCGTGATATATGTAAATATATATATATACATATTCCTTTACAGTTTACATACATGTTTATACATGCTTTGACTTAATCGTCAGAATGCATGCCAGATGTCTACCTGTGGACACGCCATGTACTCATACACATGCATATGTTTGCATGTGCCCCATTTTGCTTTGAAGAGATCCATGTATGACTACAAAATTGTCTGAGCACGCATATGGCATATGTTCGCTCGCCAAAGTTTCAGCGGGAGTTGACGCTTGCTTTAACCATGATGATGCACCGATTGGAGTCGGGAAAACGTAGGATGGTGTCTGCGCAACCTCTGGATCAATGGTTTATTTACACTGATGCTGCTTACGATCAAGAAGAGAAGACTGGTGGCTTAGGTGCTGTGCTTTTCAATGAGCAGGGTGCTTGCGTTGGTTGGTATGGAATACCGCTGGCCATGGAACAATGTGCCCTTTTTGGGGCGTTGGAGAAGCAGACAATAATCTATGAGTTGGAGCTTCTTGCAAGGGTTTTGGCGCTTGACTTTTGGGCGTCTTCTACAAACACTGGCTTGCAAGTTTGCTTTGGGGATAATGATGGTGCAAGGTTTTCTTAAATCAACCATTCTGAATTCTGCTGCGCGGCTCATGGAGTATCACTTGTTGCGAGAGGCTGAAAATAACATGCGCACTTGGTTTGCCAAGGTGCCGACAGAAGCAAACATAGCAGACTATCCGTCAAAGAACATGCCTCACGATTTGCTGGAACAGAGACTGGATGAATCAGCTGCACCCGCAATCTGGTTTGAAAGTTTGGTCAACATTTTGGAGCTGGGACCAGCCAGACAAATGGGGGAGTGCAGACAGCCTGGTCCCACTTGACAAAAAGGCATTCGCTTTGCCTGCCCTCATGTGGCCAACTCTTGAGACCAGACAATGCAGCTGATCTTGATCATCAAGCTGTCTTGACGATAGAGTATAGTTTTTTTTAATTTCGGGTCACATGTCTATGTGCTGAGCCTTTGACTCAAGGGAGGGTGCAGTGGGAGCGCAGTGAAATTGATCCAACAGCACCCACGACCACCTGCTTTTCCAATTTCACAGGCCAAACCCTCAGCCTTTGCGGACAGCCTGGTTCCACTTGACAAAAAGGCGTTTGCTTTGCCTGCACTCATGTGGCCAACTCTTGAGACCAGACAACGCAGCTGATCTTGATCATCAAGCTGTCTTGACGATAGAGTATAGGTTTTTTTTAAATTTCGGGTCACATGTCTATGTGCTGAGCCTTTGACTCAAGGGAGGGTGCAGTGGGAGCGCAGTGAAATTGATCCAACAGCGCCCACCCACGACCACCTGCTTTTCCAATTTCACAGGCCAAACCCTCAGCCTTTGCGGACAGCCTGGTTCCACTTGACAAAAAGGCGTTTGCTTTGCCTGCACTCATGTGGCCAACTCTTGAGACCAGACGATTGCATTCGATTAAAAATGGTAGCTGTGTTTTGGAAGGTGAATTTCAAAGACATGGGGTCTGTGCGAAATGTCGGTTTAAGCAAGAACTTGTCATATTAGTATGAATTGTCGTTGTCAAAATGAGCGCGTATTGACTTTAGAAGGATATTGTATGAGTACCTGTACCCAATGTGCATTTTTGTCACATGTCCAGGAAATCTGGTTTTATTAACATAATTAATGTTGAATAAACATGAGTTATCATGTTCGAACCAACTGTACAAGGCGCATTTTTTGGTTAACAAAAAACATAGGATTCTTTTTCCCAAAAACCGTGATTTAATGCCCGGGCTCAAGATGCAAAATTAGACACGCATTGGCTTTAGGGCCGATTCCTCAATGTAACTTCACAAACCTGCAAAGAAAAAAACACAATCTTTCCAGAACTGATTCACTGATTTTTGGGTTTCGCCAATTTGCAGGGAAACATGAGGAGAAACTGTTGGTGAATTGATTTGACCTCCACAGAGATCACAGCATGTGCTGTCAAAATCCATCCCCGCAGCGCAGGTGGGCATCGGTGGCTGCAGAAATGGTGACCGTGGAGTGATGTGAGTGCTGAAGCGACTGTCGATGCGCCATCTGTCTGAAACATGTCATGATGTTAAATGAGAATCGTTGCGCCTGCCGGTGACCAAGTAAGCCAAACAACAGTGATCAACAGATCAATAGCATGAAATATACATTCAAACAAAAACCGTATAAAGATTCCATGAACAACTCCCCAGCATTTTGGTCTTTCGATATTTTTTGAACATGATTGGTGTTATTTTGGTTATTTTGTTTGTTTTGGCTGCGTTTCAATCCCGGCCCGTCATAAACAGCAGCAAAGTCTGCGGATGAGGCGTCGGGCAGTTGTGGATCCTGTCCGGAATCGTCGTGAGACCACCGAGGGCAGCTACGCTTTGCTGCGCTTCATTTCTTGCCGTCGTGGTAAAACCTTTCAGCATTGGAAATTGTGAAAAAAAAATTAAACATTTTCATTCATTTTATATTGACCCTACCATGTCATATTGTGTAACGGGGATTGATGCAGTAGGTTCGTAGTCTCAGTTGACCGTTCGACCCAGTCTGCTTTGAGAGGTCATTGCCATCTTCGCTCACAAGTGCACGCAGGTTGATGTGAACATAGCTCACAGTGCTCCAGCAGCAAAAAGGATCAGCGTTTCGCCCATTTCGCGTCCGTTTGTGCACCACGGATTTCCACAGTCAAATCTGCGCACAGGAGACGGTGCAATCTGCTCATGGAACGGTTTGAATGTGGACTTCGGTCAATGCTGGTCAATACATGCGTTTGCTGTTATGTGGTTCAAGATCGCACTCAAAGTCATGAGCTGTATATGATAAATAGCGAGTAAACCAGACACCGACCAGGAATCCGCAACATGCTCGCAAACGTGTTCTTCGCACCACGAGATGGTCGCCTACGCCTGCCCCGCATCGTTGTGAAGCTGGGTTCAGCTCCCAGTTGTTGCCACAGAGCTTCCAGATGCTGCCAGGACGCCCATTGCGTGGCAATGTTTTGTTGACAAATTCACATTGCAATACCTGTCAGATTGTTTTTATCATATGCTGTGCACCTTGAGTCGTACAAGACACTCTAATAGTGAAGGCCTTTGACTGCCGTGGGTGGTGGTGCGCCAGCGTCAAAGCAGACAACTCAGAGGTTTCTGACAATTACTGTATTCTAAGGTGTTGGGGAATGATGGTGCGAGCCGGGCAATACGGAGTTGAATCCATTTGAAAGGAAAATGTTTAATTGACTCCCTTGAAGACAGATATGAGATGTGTGACTGAGATATGTGGTGAAAGACGATCCGAAGTGGTGCAGAAAGGGAAGACAAGGCAAAGGCACGGAAGATTGGAAGATACTTGTGCCATGTTTCGCCGAACTTGAAACAAAATCATCGGGCAGGTTGGATAACATTGGATAACAGGATTCATGTAGCAACTTCAGGCTTTCTCCACCCCTTGGGCTGGCCCTCACGATGAGAATGACATCATTGCTGCAGCTTTGCTGGACAAACTTGCGTAACAGGCTTAGTAGGTGTGAATCTTCAGGGATGCTGGCTGATTTAACCAACAACATGAACCACATATACACAATCAGACATATATATAATTGCAGAAATGTAACGCACCTTGCATCAGTACATGTACATGCCATAGCAGTCATGTTTGTCACTTGACACTGCACAAATCGAGCAGTGTAACATGGTGAGACTTTTGAGAACATGGTGAGACTTTTGAGGCGCTTTCAACTCAAGGAAAATCCGCATGGTAGCGGAGCCCAAGGATCCAGATTGGCAACTCTCTGGTGAGGGCTCGAAGGTGGACTGAAACCTATCCACCAGCTGCTGAACTTGCAGCAAAGGGTTTTAGGTAGCGCCATAGTAATTCCCTTGGTGTTCTTTCTTGCAATCATTGCCTGTGAACTAACCTGGAGGTGACTTTGCAATTTTACTGGACCATTGACTGCATTTGGGTTGAC